CTTCTTCAGTGATATCATCATAGAGTCTGAGAAGCTTAGTGAGTCATTTCAGCTTTCTAAAGTATTCATTAGTGGTTTTGTCACTCATTTATAGCTCCTTCATCTTCTTTTTGTGCATGTCCTACACAGTGATGTCAGTGAACTTCTCATGTATGGCATTCTTGAATTCTTTCTAGGACAGCTGTCAATGGTGTCTTCTGGTTGTCAAGTATAGGTCTGCAAGTTGCATTTTCCACCATTTCTTTGCTTTGTCCTCAAAATATGAGGCAGCAAAGGCAATGCAATACATGTCAACAGTGAGATAAGCAGAGTATACCTGAAAGTATGTTTCACCATCAGTGAGAAACTGGTTGATATTATTAGAGTGTCCCTTGAAGGGATGAGGTTTCCATATGAAGCCTGATTTGCACAGAATGAGAGCAGCATCAGCAGCTAAGAGACCCATCAGGTTTGAGTATTTGCTGAATGGCAGGTTATGCCATTCTTGGGGAGATCCAGAGAGAGAATGCAGGGAATGGTCATCTGTGATTGAGCTTCTGGTTACTGCCCTCTTCTTCTTCTTGATTTGTCTATTGACAATCTTGAATCTGAGCTTCTTGGCCTTGGGATTGCCCTGGTCTTCTTCAGCCTGATCACTGGATCCTGCTTCATTTGCAGGAGACTGTCTAGTGAGTAGTCAGCTTTTTCAGCTTGCAGTCCAAGGGTGTCAGAGAGAGATGGCCAATTCAGCCTGAGAGAATAGATGTTAAAAGGCTAAAGAATGGGTGGATCAGATCAAGGGTGCCATATAGATGGCATGATTCAGTGGAATGAGGGTGTGTTCAGCATTGGTCAGATGTGAAACTGTGATTTGTATGCTGGTAGTTCTTCCATAGGCACTTTAGGGTAAGCCTCATTGTACAGATAGATAGCTTGCTCAGTAGTGTGGTACTGTAAAATGTCAATTTTTTCCTGGTCATCTACTGCTATATACTTCTTGCCCAGAGAAGTTATCCTTTAGGCAATATTCTGCATGATCTACCTCACCCTTTCTTTGAACAGTCAATTAAATTCCTTCCATCTCTCTTTGTACATCTCCCTGATAAGCCAGTTCTTATCTACCTCCTCTTCTTTCTCATCAGAGAGATCTTCAGGCAGAGCAATTACTGATGGGGCTCTCAGTGCCTTCACTGTAGCTGGGGAGTTGTCATTGCTATCTGAGTCTGATGTCAATAGGAGGCTGGATTTGAGGTGGAGAAGGCCTAGTGATGGTTTCTCTGGCTTCATTCCAGGGTTCTGCTTCTGCATCCTCCTCCAGTTCATTATGATATCAGTGGAACTGGTGGAGGAAGTCATCACATCAGAATAGTCTATCTAGCAACTTGGCTTTTAAGAAATCACCAGAAGGTGTCATTACTGATGTATACAGGTTCAGGTCTTCAAATCCTGTATGCAGATAGAGAGGTGCTTTGTGGAGCTGGTGGAGTGATAGGCCTGTCAGATTCTGTTTCTGGCTAACTGGGCTCTTGAAAGAGGTGGTGGGTTTCACCTTAGAACATGAGCCTGAAGCATCAAAAGTCTGTTGTGCCTTCTGATGAGATGTCATAGTCAGCATAGTTGAGATATTCCTGTATGAGGCAGTCTGTGTTGTTGAGCCAGAGCTCTCCCATTGCTGCATGGATTTCTCTGGCATTGCTGTTGCTGTCAAGGTCAAACTCTGAGAGGACTGCAGAGTTGCTTTGGGTTTCAGAGGTCAAGTTATATTTGGATCCTTGCTCTGAAGCTAATTCAGAGGCAGTACCAAGAGAGTCTTGAGCATGGTCTCCAATTCTGTGCTCAGACAGGGCAGTGGGAGGGTCAGGAGAGGGAGAGTTGTCAAAGATGTTATCAGAGAGATCATCAGTAAGACTAGCCAGGACTAGAGAGAAGTGCAGCAGAATTCTATTGAAGCAGCATCTTTGCTGCTCAATAGAGAGGCAGTTTCATTGGGGTCATCAAGGTGGATACTGATTGATCCAGCTGGCTTCTTCCTCTTGCTCCTTGTCAGAAGCTTTCTGAGTCAGCTGGAGAACAATTTTGGGTACAGGCTCACCTGTGGGCTCATTAGTTTGAGGAGGTTCTGCTGAAATATCATGGAAGGGGAGGACAGGCAAGAGATTTTGCTTGATTCTGTATAGGGTTCAGAGAGAATGATAATATCTGATGATCCAGATGGTGATGGACTGGTTTCCATGACAAAGATAGACAATAACAAAGAGTCCAAGCAGGGTGCTGATAATGGTGGTCAAGAGCTTGAACTAGTAGTGATGTCAGTAGTTGATCGCATTCAGTTTTCTTTGTCACTAATATGCATAAGAAACAGAAAGCAGGCAGCTTCAAGCTAATTGTTAGATCCACTTGACATGTGATCAATACACATGATAAACTAGCACTGTATCAAGTTCATATAGTCACACTAAAGTCCACTAATGTGCAATTCTGATCATATGTGTCAAGGCCATTGACAGGTTAGGCTCAAGAAAGAAGAATGGTATAGAATAAACTTTGGCTTGAAGCTGGAGTCCTACAATGAGAGCTATTCTACTTATATCTGCTTTTCTGAAAGATAAATATAGTTTCTACTAGTTATGTGTCCTTGTGTTGCAATATCATAGCATCTGATCATTGAGAGTGAAACAATAGGGTATTGTCTATAGATGAGATGTTCACTATGTGTCAGAGGACAATGGCATGGGCTGCCTATTGTGGTTAAGTAATCATTCCATAGTCATCAATAAGTGCCTATGATAAGATAGATGCCCTGATAAGATAAGATAAATAATAAGATAAATGAAAAAATTATAACAAGAGCACTCTTTTGAGTTTTTGAGGTATTTGTGACATGAAGCACTGCAGGTGGCAGAGGTTCAAACCCTTTGAATCCACAGATAGGGTTTTTGTTTTTTTTTGTATCTCTAGATCATATAGGTTTGAATTCTGTGGATCTACAATTGGTTAGGAAACTTGTGTGTAGAGGTTTGAACCTTTTGGTATTTGTAGATAGGATTGTGAAAGGTTTCTGCTTAGAGTGTGAAGCTTTAAGTTGTGTATTGTGTGTGTTAGGGATTTTGAGTTGATCTGAGCAGTGCTTGAGACTTTTTGGGAGTTTTGTGGGAGTGTTTTAAAGTATTGTATTGAGCTACAGTATCTTTTGCCTTGAGGCCTGGTGACACTTATTGCCCCTCTTGTTATAAAACAAAAGCTTTGATACTTAGAGAGATCTCAGACATATATATGTACATGCTATTGCTAGTTGTGTGCAGTGGATTATTGAAGATATGATTGTGTTTGCCATTTACTACTCTTATTGCATTACAATCCCCCAATGAACTAAGAGTATTGTGTGAGTGGGTGGGCATGGATGTGATCAGTGGATAGTCCTCTGCTGTATCACTTTCTAGCTTGCACATGCTCCAGCCTCTTCACCATGTACCATCATTGAGATACCACTCTAAGTGAATAGCAAGTTAGCATTCCTTTATTTGCTGGATGATGAGGTACTCACTGCCCTATTAATATGCCCAGAGTCTCTCACAGAAAGGAGAAACAAGCTGTGGTACTCCTTAAGTTAATTTTGAGGTTTCCAGGAGGATTAGGGCATATGGAGGAGACATCCAAAATTTGACTTTGAGACATTGAATTTGAATAGATCTTAATCTAGAAGTGGCCACAATTTGTTTACACACATCCACGGAAGGGATCTGAACTCACTTTTAGATCTCCATGGATTTTCATACTGAGATTAGAGTGGACTTCCCCCAAAGGTCTATAGCTCTACTGAAGAGTGTGAATTTTATGTGTCAAAGGAGATATTTCTCCAGAAATAGCAAGAGCTCACAATCAGAAGCATCAAGGAAACATCCTCTCAAGGTTCAAGATAAATTCACAATCTCTGACTCAGACAAGAAGGGTGAAGTCAGATAGGTTGAGGCTTGAATTAGCAGGCTTCACTCAGCAAGCTGAATCAACCATCAGCAAACCCTTTCTTAGCTGATGGTAACCCTTACCTCTATACCTGTATCTTCAACTCATGAAAAAATGCTCTATGACAATATAATGAGCCTACAGGAAGTAAAAGCACTAAAGACAGGTTTCTACCCTGATCCTTGATGTTGATGGATGTGGTATGAGTTCATGCTGGCTGTGTGGCATTAGTCACAACATCAACAAGCCCATCCACAATCATGTGTCTCAGATGCATTGCTAACACCATGCCTCTGAGAATTATCTGCAAAGGCAACATGGCACTGAGAAGAATATTATAAAGTGAGAAGGAAAAAGAGAGAGATTGGGATGGTATTTGAAGCCCAGCTGATCCTATGTTTTATATCCCAAGATGCAGGCACTTCTATCATCTTGCCATCCAGAATTCTTGCTACACCATGAATGCTACCTGTCATGCCCTGCAGAGAAGAGTTATTTCAGCTCCTAATTCAAAACATAAAATATAAATTGAGCAAGCCAATGTCCCAGAATTTCAAGTACTCCAATGTCAGAAATGGTAGTAAAGAGAGGAATAAACAAGGCATGTTGGGATGTTTGGAATTGAGATGCGTTTTCTGTCTTGGAAATGGTGGCTCAAATTCCTTGATGTCTTGTAACAAATTTTTGTTCACTGACAGAATTTCTCCAGCCAAGTGATTCAGAATTGCATCTCAGCTCACCTGCAGTCATCTGACATATTCATGGTGGCATGACTGAAGACCAAAGTCTTCTGAATAGCCTAATGACTTCTGAAACTGAAGAAAACCATAAGCTCAAGTCGATCACATGTAAAGCAGAAGTAAAGATCATGATTATTTACTATGAAAATACCCCAATGATTTCTAGCATATTGATGCTAGAGATACTTTGACTGATCATGAGTCGAATGACTGCAGTGAGTGCATAGTTAATTTAGAGGAAAATAAAACATAGATAGAAGAAATGTAGAAATGGAAGAAAAATACAATGTTTCAAACCACTGGCAAAGTGATGATTTCCTAAAGACCTTTATACCAATCCTTATTCAGCCCCACTGCAAAAAATGCAGTCTCAAACAGACATGCTTGATGGAATCCAGTGTTCCATTTATCCTTGTTGGAAGAACAATCATAGAATGCATGATTGGCTTCAAGATAATCTAAGGGTTCAATTCTCAGAAACATCCTAAATACCAGTAAACAATAAACCTGGCACTCACTGGAAAGCCTGTTCACTGAACCAGGGTCAAAGTTTGCCTCAAACCAGTACTTGTAAAACAATGTATCCTTTGCAGCTGAAGAATCTCTTTCAGCTAACAAACTTTGGTTGGAATTTTGAAGGTACAAACAAGCTATATTTGACCTAGACAAGTGTTCAGCGATCTTATTCCATCCCTGCTCACTTTGTAAGCTCAACCATGTTTCTCATAAAGAAATTCACTCACATAGATGCATGGAATTGCCCTAACAAAATTCGAGAAAGTGTCATCTCTCACAGCAGACAATTGCTCCCAACTTGTATACTCCAACAATGCTGGTGAAGCCTTCTCATTCAGTAAGTCATCTGCAAGAATTTTCATGCCATTGATACAGTCATCATAGTTGTCATTCACATAACCCATGTTCCTAGTTATTCTGGTGGCCATATTGTTCAAACCCTCCTGGGTGTGAGCTAATGGGTCCTGCAGTGCTTGATAGTTGATGAAGCAGATGTATTCAATCAAGTAGAGATAGTCTTGCTACATTTTGTGTTGATAGTCAATCAGATACCAGGAAAGTTAACAAGAATTACCATATCTTGGCCATACCTCAGAACTTGTCATCAAACTCAGGTGCAGGAGCTTTATAACCAAGCATGCAGAATTGATTTCCCAGAAAATTGTTCCACACCTCCTCATTGTTCACAATCAGTTCTTCAATCAGAGTAGGTCTATCCTGCATCCTCATAGGCAGGTGGTCCACTGTGGTATTTGAATTAAATGAAATTTGGGTGGAGAGTGAGTCAAAGACTAACCATCAAGGGCTTTGAGTTTGAATGGAACTACTTGTGATTCCAAGGTACCTAAGATAGCAGCAGCTCTGCAGGTCATGTTGATATGAAAAACTGGTGGAGTCAAATGGATAGGGAGTGATACATTGTGTGTGATACTTGGGATGCTTTTTTGAGTGCAGGATGGCTTGGTTTTAAGGATTCTTCATGTTGGGATAGCAATCCTGAGTGAGTACAAGAATGTACTTGAAGATACAATGCCAGTCAGCAGCAGCTGACTTGGATCATGATTCAGACTTATTTAGTATCTCACAGAAAGATCTTGAAGTAATACAAAATGTATTTAAGTAGAACATCTCTCTCTCAAGAGGCTAATTGTAATCCTCTGTACATTACTCTGCTCTCTACTTACAACAGGTTATGGGCCCCAGCCATAACTGAACTTACATCACTACTCACTTTGCACCCTTTTGTACTTTATGTACACACATAGAACTGCATGGATAGCCAGTCCATGTATAGAATTGACCCCCTTAAGAGCCCAGAAAATTATCTGACATGGAAAATCAAGATGATTGATATCCTAACCGATTTAGGACTAATTGATTATGCAGATGGAAGCATTCCAGCCCCGGCAGACATGACACTGGTGGCAGATTGGAAGAAGAGCAATAGGAAGGCTCTTTCAACAATAATATTGTGGATTTCAGATGGCCCACTGGTATATATTGCTGGTTCAAAGACTTTGGCAGAAGCCTGGAAAGCTCTGAAAGATATGTATGAGTCCAGAGGACTCATGGGAATTGTCCTTGTCAGAAGGAAATTCTTCAGAGCTCAGTGCAAAGAAGGAGGAAACATAGAGGAGCATATTAGGACTTTGAGGTCCTATCAGGAGGAGCTGGCATCCCTTAAGCAGAAAGTCAAGGAGGAGGACTTCTCTATCACACTGCTTATATCACTCCTGGAATCATGGAATTCATTCATCTCATCAGTGGATACTGCTGACTTGAAAGATTCTTACAAGTTGATTTTCTGAATTTTTCAGGAGGACATCTGATTAAAGGAAAAGACTTCTGATTGGACCATGTGTTAGATCCAAGTGTCACATGAGTGGAACCATATGATAGACAGAAGCTACCTTGCACTTCAGATAGTCATCTGAATCCACTGATGTGATTCTTTGCAGTGTGGCACAAGACTAATGATGTAGCTCAAGAGTAGAATGGTATGAATAAACTTTAGTTTGAAGCTGAGGATTACCAGTGAGAGTGAGCCTCCTTAAATACAGTTTCTAGTCCACTATTAATACTCATACTTATTGTGCATTTCTCTGTCCTAGGTGCTCATTGTCCTTGAGCATTGTTACCATACATAAAAGGTTGATTGTGTGTTTGTTGTTAGATGTCAGTTGCATCAAAGAACTATGGTGAAGTCAGTCTGTTGTGATGACCAAGCTTATCTCATGGTTCTAAGTGCTTGTCCTTTGGTGCCTTGACTAAGCATAAGATAGGGGTTTTTTAGAAGCAAAAAGGGAAAAATCATAATATTACTCCCTCCTTAAGACCATCATCCTGATGGCTTAATTTAGGGATAATTCATAATTGTGTATGGCCTCATCTATGTCCATCAGTTTTTTGTTGATCCATTGATTGGATTCCAGTCTGTAGCCCTTCCAGCTCACAAGATAATCCACCATCATTGTTGTCTCCCTGCCTTTTGCCTTTATTTTGCATAGTTTGTGGTTAAGGACTTGATAGATTTCATAGTGTCCTTTATCATCAATCAGGTCCAGTGGTGGTGGCAGAGGTTTCTCCTGGTTAGGAAATGCAGGTGTGATGTATGGTGACAATAACATCTTGTTGAAGATGTCATGTATTTTCCATGAAGTTGGCAGATAGAGTTTGTAGGCACTTGCCCCGATTTTTGAGATGATCAGGAATAGGCCTGTGCATTTGTCTGTGAGTTTTCACTTGGGTTGTGGAAGGTGGAGGTTGGTTGTATCCAGCCAGACTTTATCATATTGCATTTTCATGAATGTTATGGCTTTTTCTAAAGCTGCCTTTGTTTCCATGTGAATCTTTGTCATTGTAAAGGCAAAGTCTGTGGATGCAGGCATGGTCATTCAATGTCATTCTTTTTGAGCAATATGTGGGTGTCATCTGTGGTTGATGAAAAATAGTGTCTTTCCTGTTGCAGAATGAACTTGGTTGTTGTGTTAAAAGACTGCAAGGGCCAGCCATTCTACCCAGTCATCCTGGCAGTAGTTGATGAAAAGTCATAAATACTTTTTAATTTCTTGGTTGGCATGTTCCATCTGCCCATTGGTCTGTGGGTGATATGCAGTGGACATGTTGTGCTTGATGTGTAGGAGTCAGTACAGATTGTCAAGGAATTTAGAGATAAACTGTGGTCCTCTGTCTAAAATAATGACTTGTAGCATGCTATATTTTGCATATACCTTATCTTGTAATAATTTTACCCATCCTTCCAAGGTTAGTTCAGTTGAACAGGTGATCAGAATGATTGCTTTTGAGAAGCGATTGACTATGATGATGATTGTGTCATATCTGTTACAGTCTGGCAGGCCAGTGATCATATCCACAGAAATGTGGGTCCATGATGAGGCTGAGACCTCATTTGGGTGTAAAAGAGTGGCTCAGGCTTGCATTGATGACTTTCCCCATTGACAGACTTCATATGCCTTGACATACATGATAATGTCATTGTCCATTTTGGGCCACCAATACTCCTGTAGCACCAGTTCTTTGGTTTTGGCAATGCCGGGGTGACCAGCAGTGGTATGATCATGGCAAGTAGTGATAATTTTGCCTCAAAGCCTCTGGTCTTGTGGAATATAGATGCATCTGTTATAGCAGATTAATCCTCCTTCCTTCATCATTTCTTGTTCATGGTTGAGTTAGGGGGCTACTCATTGGTCTCATTTGTGGCTATCACAAGTTGCACTTTTTATGTGCTCATGAATTTCCTCCTCCATCAGCATTATCATGGCCCTGAAGTGTTCAGGGCACAGTAGTGTCACTTCTTCATTATTGGCCTCTCCTTGATCATGATCTGCCCTTCAACTAAGTAGGTCAGCCTTTTTATTGGCCATCCCTGCTTTATGGTGAAGAGTGTACTGATACTGACTTAGTTCCATGACCCACCTCGCCTGCCAGTGATTGAGCTTCTGAGATTGTTGGAAATATTGACAATTTTATGGTCAGTCTAGATTTTGAAGATCTCAGCTGCCCCAATCAGGTAGTATCACCACTCTTTAAGGGCAAGCATGATGGCGAGAAGCTCTTTGTTATAGATTTTATAGTTTCATTTTATAATGGTGAGTGTTTTGATAGGAATGTGACTGGTCACCACTTGTTGTCTTGCTCCTAGGATAATATGGCTTCAATTGCCCCTTTGCTTGAGTCGGCCTTGACTCAGAACTTCCCTTCTTGAGTTGGGATTGCAAGGATAATGTCTTCTGCTAGTCACCTTTTGAGATCATTAAAGGTGGTTTGCTGGAAAAGACCCTAAGTCCAAGAGGCATTGCCAGTTAACTGTGTCATTGGGCAGACTACCTTGCTATAGTCTTGGATAAAGCATCAGTAAAAGTTTATAAACCTGAGAAATGACTGGAGCTCCTTTTTTCTGATTGGCTCTGGCCATTCTGTCACTCCTGCAACTTTAATGGGGTCCATCTGGATGCTTCCTTCCAAGATAATGACTCCCAAATACTCTGTCTCAAGTACTTCAAACTTGCACTTTTCGGCTTTAAGGAATAGTTTATGCTTCCTCATGAGGCTAAATACTTGTTGTACTAGCCTCCTATATTCCTCCTTCATCTTGGACATGATTAAAATGTCATTGAGGTAGATGGTGACCTTTCTGATGGCAATGAGTTCTTTGAATATGTCATTCATCATCCACTGGAATGTGGCTGGAGAATTAGTAAGGCCAAAGAATATAACCATTGGTTTGAACAGCTCTTGGTTTGTTCTGAATGCTGCCTTTCACTCATCACCCTCCTTGATTCAGACATTGTTATATTCCCATCAGACATTAAGCTTAGTATAGTACTTGGCACCCTGAAGCTTGTCCATTAGTTCAGAGATCAGCAGAAGGGGATATTGATTTTTTATGATCATTTCATTAAGCTTCCGGTAGTCCTGAACTGGCTGGAGCTTGCCATCTTTCTTTTTAATGAAAAAGAATGGCGATGCCATAGGTGACTTGGAAGATCTAATGTGTCTGCTAGACAGGTTCTCATCAAGGAACTTGTCAAGCTCCTGCTGCTCATAGTTGCTAAGCAGATAAGTCTTGCAGTCCAAGTTGGCATTTGCATTTGGGATGAGTTCAATGGTATGGTTCCAGGGCTTCAGCTTTGGCAACTCATTGAAACTTTCCTTTTTGAATAAGTCTTTGAAGTCATATGCTCAGTCGGGTACCATCTCCTCAAAGATTTTTTCCACCTTCTGCTCATTGGCTTTGGTGGCCAGGTCATTGGCATGATGTATTGCACATATGTGCAACTCCTGTTGAAAGTCTACAGCCAGAATTGTTTCTCCATCCTCCATCTCTTTATCCCATTGATTCTTCAGGTCTTCATCGGAGAGTTTGAATAGGATCTTTCAGCAGTGGCATCTTGCAAATGTGATCCATTCAGTCTTCCAATTGATTAGTGGGTTGTAGCATATCAACCAGTCATGACCAAGAAAGACTTCTTTGGTCCTGAGGTCTGTAACCACCAGATCAATCTGCTCTGAATGGTCTCTGATAGTGAGCCTGAGCTCCATGAATTCAGTGATTGAGCTGGCTTGGTTCTTTGTTCTATCAGCATTGTAGACTGGAATTGGAGCAGCTGTGGCTTGGGTCAGGAGCTGGTGCTTGTCGACAAAGGCACGATTAATAGAGCTTCCAGTGCATCTGCTGTCGATAAGCACTGTTACCATGTACATTATCTGAGACATGAGGGTCTCGATTTGGACTTTGATGAGCAAGTCCCATCCAGTCATCTTGGACTGCCAGATGAACTTCCATAGTCCCCTGAGCTTGTCGAGCCACTCCAGGGCTCAGCATCATTCAGCTTTCCTCATTCCCTCTACCATTTAGTCAATGACTTCCTCAGCCTGGGTCCAGTGGATCCAGTTTTTGAGCACGGCTTTTGCTATGGCTTCATTTGTGGTGTCTTTGATGGCCCTCCATGTTCACTTGGTATTGAATGGTTTGAGCCAGGTTTTGGGGCTCTCTGCCTCTGTTCAGCCTGAAGGCACTTGAGTTCTTTTGTGCAATTCTCTGATGTGTGGGGTACAACTGGGTATATTCAAATGCATGATATGACTAGGCATAGAAGTATCTACAGAGGTACTATCAGTCTGACTAGCAGCTGGGGTTTGCACACCATAAGTCCTTTTGGCCAGTCCAGTGGAATCACTCACTGGCTGGCCTTGTCTTTTACTTCCTTGACTTTAGTTTCCTTCCCCAGTTCTTCATCCTCTTTTTGTAGTTTAGTGATCTGAGCTCAGATGTCTTCTTGGGTCCTCTTCTTCTTTGGGCAGTCTTTCACCATATGCCCCTTCTGTCTGCAATTGAAACATTTCTCTTCCTTTTTCATGCAGTCTATGTCCATCAGCTTTCCTGTTCCTGTGTACATAGTCCTGGTTCCAGTTTTGTAGGAGGTCAGGGCAGAAGAGGTTCTCTGTGGTTTCCTGGCAGTTGTCTCCAATGCTTTGTTCAGAGTTGGCAGGGTCAATTTCTTGATATAATCTTGCAAGGTCGATGATTCTGCTTTCTGCCTTTGCTGCTCCTTGTACATCTCGATGATCCTTTCCTTCCACCCATCATATCCCACCAGCATTAGCATTTTGATGCTGATAGCAGAGATCATCATGATGTATGAGGAGGGGATGCCTTGCTTGAGTGCTTCGACTATTTGACCATTGTTGGCCATGTCCTCCCAGATGCCTGCCAGCTTGGTGAGCCATTCCAGCTCATTGAAGTAATCTATTGCCACCTTATCTCCCATTTTGTACTCCTTGATCTTTTGTTTGTGTACTTCTTGTACAGCCAGATCAATAAATTTGTTGTTCAACATCTGCTTGAACACCAGCCATGAGAGGTATCAGTAATGCTCCTGCACTGCTGATCAAAAATTAGGGGAGATAAGGATCCACCATGTTTTCACCTTCTCTTCAAGGTAGGAAGCAGTGAAGACAACTTTATTCATGTCAGTTCCTAGATACCTAGTATAAACTTCAAAGTATTGTTTGCAATCCACAAGAAAGCAGTCGATATCATTAGATGCCCCCTTAAAGGGGTGGGGTTTTCATAGGAGATCTGAGTGACATTGGAGGACCACTGCATCATGGGGTAGTGCTCCCATTGGATTGGGCCACTCTGAGAAAGGAGGTCATTGCCACTCATGCAGTAGTTCAGGAAAGAAGTGTAGGGAGTTATCATCTGCTACTGGACTCCCTTGTGGTGGCTTGTCTCTTCATATGATGATGCCATTGCAGATGGTAAATCCTAGTCATACTGCTTCCAGATTATTCCGCATTGGTTCCTTCCTGCTGACATGCCCTCTCCATGTTCAGGCATGTAAAATTGCGAAAATTGCGAATACATGGACTGCATTCCAGTCCAGTAAACATGTAACAGAAAATAGGACTAGAGCACATAGAAACCTAGCTATCATAATGATAAACTGAAGTAACAATAAGCAGAGTGCATGGCCTAGTAACAGACTAATACCAGAGGGGTTAGGCTGCATGTGAGGTCCCAGCACTCGGCCCTAAATGTGCCAATACTATTACAAGAGGACATGCTAAAAATAAAAAGACTACAATCAAAATATGATCAGCAAGTCTGATCACATTGATCAAAGATGCACAGCCATTGATGCCCTGATGGGACATGCCTTAGAACAGAGAACTGAGACCCAAAGAAAGATATCTGAGTAATGAGTATTGAACAGAGGAATAGATGGGTGACAATAAGCTAACAAGTAGAGAAATATTACTTCAGGAATGAATAGCATGGGTACTGCCCTGAGACTTGTGCATATACATATGGTGCCTTAGCATGCATAACACAGTGAGGGACTCTGCATCATACCAAGAAATGGCACCTTTGGTGAGTCAGATGGAATGACTGGTTGGACACAGGGAAGCAGAACATAGCCATTGTGGCTGGCTCCTGACACGAGAAATAACTCTGGGGGTCTGGAACAGTTTATCACTGTCAGAGATGTCATCAGGGAAATAAGAAAGCAAGCAGACCTGGCAAGGCCAGCTAGCTGATGTCAGCTAGTGAAGGAACAGCAGGCACAGTCATTGTCTGGAAGAGAATAAGCACAGCAACTGCGATATGCACATGAATAATACCTGCAGGATCTGGCATGGAGTCCTGCACTTTGAGGATACCATAGTAGGATTGTATTAGTAAGTATCCTAGTAGAGTATTTAAATATGGTATTGTATGACTGGGAGAGAGAGTTTTCTGACCCTCCACAGTTGCAGTGTATTGGGCACAGAAAGCCTTGCACTCTAGCTCTGGGTTTGTGTTAGTAACTCCAGGCGAAAGAATAAACTGATTATTGATATCACTAAGAGTGCTGTGAGAACTAAGTGAGGCATCAAAGCTCACAAAGGACTTGAGCCCTGTTTGATAAGAGGTTTTGGATTGTGCTTTAACCTGAGAATAAGAGAGCAGTGTCTGAAGGGCATCATCTTGAGTTTTTGAGGTATTTGTGATGCGTGGCACTACAGGTGGCAGAGGTTCAAACCCTTTGGCTTGATTAGTGTGTGCTCTTGTGTTATTTCTGCAGATTGGCAGAGGTTCAAACCCTTTGGTCTGTCAGATGGGGTTTTATTGTGTTTGTGTCTCTGGATCACATAGGTTTGAATCCTGTGGGTCTACAATCAGTTTGGAAACTTAGAAACAGAGATCTGTGCTCTTTGGCACTTGTGGATGTGTTTGTGATTGGTTTTTGCTTAGAGCACAAAGCTTTGAGTTGTGTATTGTGTGTGTTAGGGATTTGAGTTGATCTGTGCTTGGAACCATTTGAGAGTTTTGAAGGAGTGTTTTGACATATTGTATTGAGTTGCAGTACCCTTTGCCTTGAGGCCCAGCAACACCAGTTGCCACCTCTTGTTTTGATAAAATGAAAAGCTTTGAGACTTAGAAAGACCTTGGACTGTTGTAAGCATGCTATTACTGTTCGCATGCTCTGATCTTATTGAAGAAGACAATTATATTTGTTGATTGCTACTTTTATCACATTATAATCCTCCCACAAACTAAGAGTTTTGTGTGTGTGTTGGTGTGAGTGTGGACAGTGGATAATGCTCTGCTGTATCTGTTTTCATCTTGCACATGCTCAGATCCTCTTCACTGCTCCTGGTTGCTTTGTCAGGAGGGGGCTGTGCTCTCAGGAGTCAGCTTTCTTTGCTGGTCCATGGGTTTCAATAGGATGAGAGTACTTTTCTGGGTTGAGATTGGGATTGAGAGAGCCAAGTTGCTGTTGAGCAGGAGGAGAGAGTGGAGTATGAAAATGTGCTTCTGAAAGATGGGACCATATATACAGCTCATTTCAGATTCTCATAGGGTGTGTGCAGCATGGGACAGATTGTCACTGGCATCTGATATGCCAGCAGTCTTTGAACTTGGTCTTCAGGATGTCTCTGGTTGTATTGGACTGCAGCATAGTCTGTTGCTGCATGTCTTAGGATTTCTGTCCTTTTGTCAGTTGTAGAATCAAGATATAATTGTCCTAATTGTGATGCTGCCCAAGCAGCATCATGCTATAAGAAGTTTACCTCTTGCAGGTAATATTCCTGGTATTCCTGCATCCTCACCCTCTTTATTTTCTGCTCCAATTCTTCTTCATCCATTGATTCGAGTAAACCATATCCAAGAACCCCACCAGGACAGGGTGGGTCACTGCTCTCAGTTTCCTCCTTCTCTGTTTCCTCAAGGAGGAAATTGGTGGGCAGGTCATAGAAACTCTCTGCCTCACCCAGTTGTATCATTGTCCCACTGCCCTGGCTGGGTGCTTGGCCCAGCAGCTGCAGGATCTGGTGTATTATCATAGGCAGCAGCAGGTTGACTGCTGATATTGGAGTCATATTGGTTTCTGCCAGTTGCTCTTGCTGCCTCCACTTGCTTGTGATAGAGATGGATGTTCTGTTAGTAGTCATCATCAATAAGTTGTCCAATGACTCTACTTCCAGGAAATCCTCAGAGTGCATGGGCAGAGATGTGGGCATTTCCAGGGGCTCAAAGTCTGTAGTGTCTGAGGACAGACTCATTACTCCTGAAGGTGGAGTCGATGCTGGGGGTTCACTGAGAAGAGGGGTACTGTGGGATTGGAGGGTGGTGGCCCCTCCTGGTTCAAGTACTGTCAGCCTAATATTCAGGGGTTCTGCTTCATGATGTACTGGGTTCTCTGAAGATGGAGGAGGAGAGGGAGGGGTCTGCTCATACTGGCATGAGTATGCTGGTGACCTCTGGGCAGAGTCCATACCAGTTTGAGACATTGGCCCTGGCCAATTGGTCTCTCTCCACTTCTCGCTGGCAGTCTTGGTTCTGCTCATTGTACTTGCTGGCTTCTCTTCTTTGTGACTCCTCCTCCATATGTTAGTCCTCAGGTTTGCGATGTATTGGCTGTGACTCACTATGCTGCCTACACTCCTCTTGTTAGATGGCATCATCATAGTTGAAGAGGACAGTAAAGTCTCAGGTTGGGAAGTACTGACATATGGTTTCTTTCCATACTTCTCATCATCTTTGTTCATTGTCTGGCTGGTCTGAGGGGTCCTGCCCCACCCTGGTGCCAGGTCTGACAGGGGAATGGGCATTGTGAGACTGGCTGCCAGGTGTTGGGGCACAGGATCTTGAAGCCATCCAAGGGACATTGAAAGAGTCCCTGGCATGGTCAGCAATCCCATGGGTATGGAAGGCAGAAGAATGAGTGGAGGAGGGGGACTAGCAGAAGAAATCCTCTGGGAGGTCCTGGTCCTCATGGTTGAAGATGATGTCTGGTATAAGGATTCCATATTTCTTTGGGAGGCTAGAGTGCTGGTTTCCAGGTTGAGGGGAGTGTTGTCTTCTCTCTTCTTTCTGACCATCTCTCTGATGCAAGCTGCTATGCCCAGCTTCTGAGGGCTGGTAGATCATTCATTGGGATTCAGGGATGTCATGGAGCAGGAGGTCAGAGGTTACATTGCATAGTATATATTGGATGTTTTAAAATTCCTGATAGTGTCTAATAGCCCAGGCAGTAATAGAATGGCATTCTCTGCACAGCTGAATGATCACCAAAAGGCCAATCAGTGTTCTGATGATGGAGGTGAGGAGTTTGAAGAACTCATAGTTGAAATTCAGATTGTTGTTACTAGAGAGAGGCATTCAGTTTCTCAGCACAATCGAGCTTGAGAAAGGGAAGCAAGAAGCTTTGAGCTAATTGTTAGACCCAAGTGTCATGTGAGCAGAACCATGTGATAGACAGAAGCTACCTCACACTTCAGGTAGTCATCTGAATCCACTGATGTGATTCTTTGCAGTGTGGCACAAGGCTAATGATGTAGCTTGAGAGTAGAATAGTATGAATAAACTTTAGCTTGAAGCTGGGGATTACCAGTGAGAGTGAGCCTCCTTAAATACAGTTTCTAGTCCACTATTAATACTCATACTTATTGTGTGTTTCTCTATCCTAGGTGCTTATTGTCCTTGAGCATCATTACCATACATAAAAGGTCAATTGTATGTTTGTTGTTAGATGTTGGTTGTATTGAAGAACCATAGTGAAGTCAGTCTGTTGTGATGACCAAGCTTATCTCATGGTTCTAAGCACTTGTCCTTTGGTGCCTTGACTAAGCATAAGATAGGGGTTTTTTAGAAGTGAAAAGAGAAAAATTGTAACACCATGACACTTGCAGTATATAGCAAGAAGTCTAATTCAAAAGTCACATGTTACAGATGTGGGGAAACTGGTCACATCAGAACAAATTGCCTAAATAGGAAGAAGAATTCTGGAAAGTCATGAAAAGAAAAGGGAAAGGGCCAGACTCAGGCATATATTGCCAAATTGGACTCAGAAGAAGATGACTATGTATTTTGTGCAACAGATGTCACACTTATCTCACTCTCAGGAGTATCATGGCTAGGGGACTCTGGCACTATTAGACATATAGTCAAAAATAGATTATATTTTTTTGACTATGTTGAAACCCCAGGACATGAAGTCATTGGTGTAGGCAAATCCAAAGGCTTGGAAAGGGGAACTGTCAAGATTAAAATAGTTGAAGGAGAAAAGATCACTCCAGTCACACTAAAAGAGTGCATCCACTGTCCTGATGCACCATTTGATCTTATATCAATAGGGCATATTACAGATGCTGGATTTAAACTCAAATTCAAGGAGTCCAGAATGGATATTATCTCACCACATGGCAAGATAATCAGTCATGGAGATAAAATATCAAAGCTGTACAGCCTTGACATCATTGTTCCAGAAATAGCCCAGATCCATGCTACAAAATCAGCCTGATCATGGTAAAAGTGGCACAAAACATTAGGCCACTTAAATATGGGATCAGTAAAGAGACTATTTAGGAAGAAAATGGTCAAGGGGATGAATATAGATGAGTCAGCCAAGCCTCAGACAGATTGCATAGCCTGCATAAAAGCCAAACATCATACCAAGCCATTTCCACAGGAAGCCAAAAGGGACTATACTGAAACAAGAGAAATGACATTTTCATATCTATGGGGGCCAGCCCAAACTCAGGGTATCCATGGTGAAAGATATTACATAAGCTTCACAGATGGAAAATCCCAGAGGACAATGCTGTATTTTTTGAAGTCAAAGCAAGATACAGAAATTCAAAAGAAAATCCAGCAGTATCAAAAATACATCAAAGTCCACAAAGGGAAGGATCTGAAGTTTATGAGGATTGACAATGGAAAGAAATATGTCAATGAAGAGGTAAAGGAATACCTTCAGGACAATGGCATACAGTTGGAATTGACTGCAGCATACTCCCCATCTCAAAATGGAGTTGCTGAGAGAATAAATCGGACTCTTGTGGAGCATGCATGTGCTATGCTAGAAGAACATTACTTACTGAAGTTTCTATGGCCTAAGGCAGTGGCATATGCCACATATTTGAAGAACTGATCACCAACTAGGGCCATCAAGAATGATTTAACCCCAGAAGAAGTGTTTCAGGGCATGAAACCAGATATTTCAGCACTTCAGGAATTTAGAGTAAAGTGCTGGGTGTTGCAACAAGATAACCAGAGGTCAAAACTGGACCTAAAGTCAAAGGAATTTATTTTCACAGATCTTACAGATGAATCCAGGGCCTGGAGATATTACAACTCTCAAACCAGGCAGATTCAGACCTCAAGAAATGTTATATTCCCTGAAAACAACACTACAGAGCCTATAGACACTTACTATATAGTCTCCCACCCTTTGTCACTTGAGGGGGAGTCAGGGAGCAAAGTTGAGCAGACTCTGAATGGAAATGATGACATTTCAGATGATTCCATGGATGCCAGAAATGCTGAACCAAAAAGGGAAACAGTCTCTGATGTGTTATTGATCAAATCAAAGTTTCCAATATGGTGTATGAAAGTGATCAAGCCACATGACAAATCAGTCCAGATTACATCAAAGACTCAACCGAGTTACCAGACACTTCATAATCCAAGTGTAAGAGCTGTGAAAACATCAGAACAACAGCGTACCTCAGAAGAATCATCTTTAGAAGCTGTAAATATTGCAATAGACTATGCATGCATTGGGAAAACTGCAGATAACCTCAGTGATGAGCCATTAAGCCTTGAAGAAGCCAAGACAAGGCCAGACTGGCATCATTGGAAGAAAGCAATGAATGAAGAATACAATCTATTGACTTTCCTAGGCACATGGCAGCTGGAAGAATTACCCAAAGACAGATCACTTGTGGATTGCAAGTGGACTTACAGATTGAAAAGGGATAATGATAGGAAAATCACCAGGTACAAGGCCAGACTTGTTGCAAAAGGATTTTCACAGGTATCTGGCATTGATTTCTTTGAGACATATGCACCAGTTGTCAGGCTGGACACATTCTGCCTACTCATGGCAATTGCCACTCAAAGAAACCTAATCATTCATGGAATGGATGTTGTTGGAGCTTACTTAAATGATAAACTCAATGAATCCATTTACATGGCACAGCCACCTGAATATTCAGATGGGAGTGGAAAAGTGGCACACCTCAAATTAATGTTGTATGGACTCAAGCAATCTGGCCAAGTTTGGAATGACAAATTAAATGCTACATTTTTGAGACTTGGATACATCAGATTGATCAGCAATCAATGTGTGTACATCAGACAAATGAGTTCTGGTCCCATAATCATAGCTGTACATGTCGACAACATGACACTGCTTGCCCCAGATGATGAAACCATGTCTAAAATAAAAGAAGAGCTTAAGAAGAAGCTAAATGTCACAGACATGGAGGAGATTCAATATATATTGGGCATGAAGATAGACAGGAATAGGGACAAGAGCACTATCACTCTATCCCAGAAGGCATATATTCTCAAAGTACTTGAGTGAATGGGCATGAATGACTGCAAACCAGTCAAAATGCCTATGGACCCAAATGTACAGCTAGAGAAAATTCTGACAGAAGACCCATGAGGCATTGACACAGCCACCAGGCAATATTACCATACTGGTGTCGGATCACTAATGTATGTGGCCAATGGATCCCAGCCTGACATTGCACATGCTGTCACCGAATTAAGCAAGTATGTGCAGAATCTGGCTGCTGAGCATGTCACAGCCTTGAAGCAAGTTTTCCACTATCTGCAGGGAACTCTAGACTTCGGAATCACATATGGAGGGACTATGGATGAGCTGATACCTTATTCAGACTCAGACTGGGGAGAAAACAGAACAGATAGAAGATCAACATCTGGTTATGTCTGTACCTATGCAGGGGGAGCTGTTACTTGGAGTTCAAAGAAACAGCCCACTGTAGCCTTATCCACTATGGAAGCAGAATATATGGCCCTTGCACACACAACCTGGGAAGTAATTTGGCTATGAGTACTCTTAACTGAATTAGGATTGCCACCTTATGAAGCAACGACTATTTTTGTCAACAATCAATCAGCAATCAAATTTGCTGAGAACCCTATATTCCATGCATGATCGAAGCATATAGACATACAGCACCACTTTGTTTGTGAGTGCATGGCTTCAAATGAAGTCAAAGTTCAGCACTGCACATCAGAGGAGAACTTAGCAGATATATTCACTAAAGGCCTACTAAGACCATTACATGAGTATTTATCTGCAGGTATTCTAGGAACTCAGAATTGAGGGGGAGTGTTGGGATAGCAATCCCGAGCGAGTACGAGAACGTACTCGAAGATACGATGCCAGTCAGCAGCAGCTGACTTGGATCGTGATCCGGACTTATTTAGTATCTCGCAGAAAGATCTCGAAGTAATACAAAATGTATTTAAGTAGAACGTCTCTCTCTCCAGAGGCTAATTCTAATCCTCTCTACATTACTCTGCTCTCTACTTACAACACTTCAGGATGCTTGAAACTGCGCAGCCTCAAAGAAACAGGGAAATACAAAAATGAATCTTGGGCGATCTAATTTTCATCGGTGAGACGAAATCACCAGTGCGACAGTACAGTACATCACCCTTTCCAATTCCCTGGGCTTCCTCGGAGTAGAATATCTCCTAACGAAACGTAAGCTGTCGTTATCCCGGGGAATTAATGTACTAGCCTTCCTCAGAATTGAATCTTCTCTAACAATGTTCACAGGCATCACACCGACCGAGACGATCAGAAAGTCGTCCAGCTCTACATCCCCAAAGAGCTCTCCCCATTAAGCGCATTCCCCGGCGCCAAACATGCTTGCTATGCTCAGGCAATTGCTAGTTCCAGCTCAGAGACGTTTCCATGAAGTCAAATAAAGATTCGACAATGAAACGTGCCTCCGGGAGTACCGTTTCACCAAAAGACGAAGCGTCAAACCATCATTGAGGCTCCACTGATAAATATTCAAGAGACCCCTTGAATCATGCTACTGCGTGTTTCGAGACTAGTAAGTCCCTTCAGTAAACCAGATCTTGGAGTGCACATGGAGTTGAATTGGACATGTTGACGGGTGTGGACCATGCGCCGGAACCTGTGATCACAGATTCCGTGAATTGCTCCTGAATCGGGGGAGAAAAGGCCACGTACGAAGACCTCGAATTCCTATCTTCCCGGGTGTCTCGCATAATTTGTGCCATTCCATTTGAATGATGTAGTCACATAAAAGAGGACTATCCTGTCTGCGAACATCTTTCCACTAATTCATTAGAATACGAAATCTTCACCGCGCCAAGACAAGGCCAACACCTACTCCGACCGCCGCTTCTCTTCAACCCACATTGTGTGGGTTGCCCTGGCGCGAGACCTAAGATACGTCAATGACAAGGAATTCAATTCTATAGGACTGGACCACATGAAGACGATGGCCTGCTACATGAGGCTGGAAGCAGTGGCGGTACGCTGTAGATAGACTCGGGTATAACGTCGAAAGTGCGCAGTAGATCATTTGACACCGTGCATTGAAGTTCCCTGCGTGAAATGAAGGCTTGAAGTCCGCACGGAACGATTCTAACCGAGTAGTTCATGCCAAGCTAGTACTAGGAGATGAACTGTCAGCTTTAACGTCACAGAATGTAAGGTCCTGCACCGGAGTAATATATATCTGTGTGCTTTGCAAATTTACAGGAACCCCGTCTGCTTTCATTTGAAAACAAAGAATGGAAGCTGTCACCGAAGTCGACTATAAGTTGAACTGAAGTTTGCATTGAAGGGCAGATTTTACCGTATAGTACGACTGCTGTGGTAATCAAGCCACTGACAGGGCATGGCCACCTGACCCGGACTTTGCTGTGCTTGAGTTTCATGATCTGTGGAGAGAGCAGTGCTATCCTCCTTTAGGATATGGATGGATGGATGGATGGAAGGAAGGAAGGAAGGGAGGTGAAAGAGTTCTGGACGAATGTGCGAAGGCTAGAAACGGTGACACAAATTGGAAAATATTGAAGCTGCATAAATTTTCAGGCCAGACGGCTGAACCAATAGTAGATTGTGTTCCTGAAAAAGAGCAGGGAAGCGTGGGATTTACTTCTCCAGTAGTACCAGTACCCATCGACCCGTCATGAGCACATGTCCTACGTGACCTCTTCTGTGCGGTATCCCGCTTGATGATGGGAACGTGGCATACTGCGAGAACAACTGCATCGATCCCCCAGTGGATCGGGTGCGCAAACCAGGGAGAGTCGGCCGACCGCAGCCTGACTTTCACTAAGTAGAGGCTAAAGGGCAATCGAAACTTAGTCATCAACGCATCGGCGAGCCAGACAAACCAAGAGCGACAGAGGACGGAGGGACGTTGACAAATACTGAAACTACGTATTGACTTGTGAGGTACCCTGAGAAGAAGGCACACATGCCCCATCATGTACCCAATTGAGTCGTTTACTCCACGGTCCATTTGAGTACCCTTGTATATAGCAAGTCAGCAATGCCATGAAAGTCATGAGAACAGTACATACTGGGATCATTTTCAGCTTGCAGCTCACTAAGTAAATCAATCATATCTGTAGATGCTGATAACCTGGCTCTCCATAACAGCCATGGTTGAATGCATCATTCCCCTGGCTGCTCTGTCTGAGTGGCTGGTTTTGCTTTAATAATCTCTGCAACACATGCACCCTTTGAAAAGGCATACTGAAAGATCACTTGGCTGTAGCAGAAGAAGAGAAATGATCTTGGAGCCCATCAAGCTTCCAACAGTGATTTAAATGAGAGCCAGTGGAATGTCTTGGAAGACAGTCTGGGAACAGAATAGATTCCCCTCTACTGTGGAATGGCCCTCTATCTATACTGGCCCCTGATGTACACATGCTACTATCCATCTCCATCTCCTCCACCTACTTCCTGATCTGCCTCCACCTGACTGCCTTCTGCCTTCTGCCTTACACTCCTTCTGCCTTATGCTCCCAACACTCCCACCAGGATGTTGTCATGGTCCCAAAGTGTTGAGATTTGGACTGTATCCAAAGTACATGCTTGTAAGATCTTTGGTCTTTGGGTTACAAGCTCCTGAGGAGTTTCCCCATTGACTTCTCATACTAGACTACACCTTTTCTAGTAATTTCTATCTAATTCCTTTAATTTCCCTCAGATTCTTTCCTTACTCAGTATGCCGGATTGCCGGATTGCTCGAATTCTCTTGCAGATTCCAACACAGTGATTTTTAAAAAACTCAAGACCTTAACAAAGACATCGCACCTGTGTCTGAGACCGGACCATGACGAAGATCTTTGTTAGGTAGAAGAGAGAACCCGCCTTGAATTTCCCTCTAACGATGGACTCGAACAGTTAAGATTTGATGATTGTATAGCCAGCGAGGCTAGATCTCATCTTCTCAGTTCTTCAGTCGAGGGAGAAAAGAACAGAAAATGGGATTTATATATTGACAAGCCGAAGACACGGGGCGGAGGCTTGTACATTGATATCACAGATGCTTCTACTTCGGTTCCTCCAATCCTATCAACGTCAGCTTCGACCACTGTCTACGTTGGGCGGCAAAGCGTAGATTTTATTGGTTGGCTTCAGCGAGCTAGAGACGGTAGACGCAGACAAATTACGCGTCTAGCTCCTAGGAGGACGATTCCTTGGCAATGGTATGTCTACCGGGTTCGTTTTCATCGACTCTTGCAGCGCAAGCACCACTCTGTCAGGTATCTCAAAGCACCCAGTAGGTATACAGGGTTGCAGGAACGTGATTGCTGCCTCGTGCAAGATTGTACTGGAGACGCCACCATCAGAGCTGGAAGAAGTAGAATCTCCACGGGGGCGACTAATATGGACAAGGCCAAGACCATCAAAGGGATCCCCACCATCCTTCCGCGTCAAGCCCTGAATCCCTAGGCCAACGCCGGTGAGTACCATGGGCGAGGAAGAAGCAGTAGAAGAGGAGAGGTCTATACTGTCGTCGATGGATGAATCGGTGCTGGTGAACGAGAGATCGTAGGATGAGAAATGCTGAGAAAATTCTTCCGCGGCGGCAGAAATAGGAGTTGTCGGTAGTGTCAGTGAAGCTAAGTGTGCGTCACCGACGTGCGCCGAAGGGATAGAATCCAAAGTCAGGAAAGGCGTAGATGACGTCTAGAAAGCTTTAAATCGAGTGAAACCTAATGGATACGAGCGATTAAATACCTTCGTAAGGTCCCGTCCTTGTACCTTCCGTCTTTGAACGACTCCAGCAAAGGCATCGTAGTGCCACCCTTCGAATTTCTGCACCTTCTTACTGAGTCCAGGCATAGACGTGTTGGTAAAGAGCGACGGTGAGGCTAGAAATACGAAGATGGTGGTGGTGGTGGAAGAAAGAAAGACGTTGAACAATCGAACCTGACAGAAGACATGTCTCGCACTTCACGTGACGTATTACGATCCAGTCTTGGAGTCACAGTACAATATGACAGTCTTAGTCAGAGTCTGAGTCAGATAGCTGTGGTCCGTCACTGTTTTCTCGATGCCCTAACTTCGGCGAAATTATTCAACGCGAGCTGCAAGGATAACATTTTCAGTCCGACATTTCCACAGGCTAACTGGACGTTCTCGCTAGGATCAACACATCTTCCAAGTCTTTGGGTGGAACTAGCCCTGGGTTTATCTCCATAACCGCAAAAGGGATTAGCGAATAAATCCGCTCGTCCCCTCCAAACCAAAGCGCTGACCGTTCCATAAACGCTTCGAGCATCGGATACCTCTCCGTGAAGTTGTGAAGGTTGTCCGTGTCAAAGTTGAACAAGTAGTACTGCGTGCCGTTGCGGCATCGAATAACGGTCCTATACATCCCAACCTTGTAACACAACAAAGAGAATTTCGGCATATCCTTCCAATATGGCATACTCTCTGATGCACCTGTTGATGCGGGGGGTATAAGATCACTGCCGTCGAATCGAGCTCAGTCGCAGCTCCAGCCGAGTGGGACATTGGAGTGGTGCGTATTCAAACAGTGGTTTGGTTTGGTGAAATCGACTATAAGTTCAGTCTGCATTCACAACCACGGTGAATAATGGATATGAATGAAATGAAGCCATAGTATTTACACACAGTAATTGTGCTGGTGGAAAGTGGATGACTCGACTGACCATCTTGATCAGAACTTACATAAATACCGACTATATCATTGCGTAGAGCAGAATCAGGGCTTACTCGAAGAAAGCAAGCACAAGGAATGTAACCGGTCTTTCATTATTTAAATCAAAATATCACACTTGGATGGTAGAAAAATCTAGATCGATTGTGGATCACCTCGATAGAATATGTAGGACACTGGCATGCACAGTAAAATATATACTAATATTTACACATTTTTGTTACCTTTCACGAGTGTGTCTGAGTCTCGTGACAGACAGTGACAAGTCCTCTGCTGATTAACGGAGCCATCTCCCTCTCGACTACACCCTGATACAACTCCAGTCCCCGAACCTCTACTCCTTCCAGTGGTACTGGACTGAATATTAAGGATATGTTTCGAATAGAACCAAACTCAGAATCAGATAATACCCCGGCAAATTTGGACCAGAATTGTGACACATTCGGATGTATTTCGGTCGGCCTCCTCTCCCAAAAGGTGATATTAATGGTGAATGTCTCAACAAACATTTGCCTTGCTCTTTTCAAGTTCTTCAAACACCATCCCAACGAGTCGGTGATCGGACTGTGTCCCAAAACACCGATTGACATAGAAAGTGAACACAAGTTCCGAGAGATATTGAGAGCTGGGTAAGGATGACGAATTGGTGCTAAATAGTACGCGGATAATCAGTTTTGTGGCCCCCTGGAAAGAGATAAACTGTACGAACCTATACAGTCATATGCAATACTGAGATGTTGCAGCGATCGCAAAGGAAGATCCAAAAACTGTTTCAGCTCATTAACTTCATTAGGATGATGCATCGTTACTGAGAGACTCTTCAGGTCGTCAACCGAGAAGGGATAGATCCCTGTCTGAATGATCGTCTGGAAAAGCGGCCAATAGTAACCTTCCACAGTCAGCTTTGCTAGGGACCCCCCCTTGGGGACCGGAAGAGTACTCGATGTCGGCAAATCTTTAAGGACCCCATTGAAATCTAAATGAAGATTTCTCGACCCTTTAAACACGGTGCACAGGTCCGCGATGTCCTGCGAAATTCCGCAGTTCGTGTACACTGAAGCTGAACGAAATGAATGCGAGGAAAGCGCTTGCTTCGATGATTCTCTCATGTCATTCAAATTGCACGCCTCAAACTTCAAATGTTCCAGCTGTCCCGGTGGAATCAGTCTCAACAACGCAGGAAACGAGCGGTCGCCGCGAATGGGTTTTCCCGGGTTTCTGCGACGAGTGGAAATTGTGATCCTTTTCACGTATTGAGCCAAGTAAGGAAAATCGGTGCATAGAACATGGAATTTGGTGGCAGTGTTGAGAAATATGGTTTCGAAAAGATAGGTACGTGTACGCGGCAAAAGGACACGAGAGGTCAAAGAGCATGCCTTAAGAGCGGATACGTCGTCCCAGGATTCGTCAATAACCTTGTCCAGTAGCTCTGGAGGCAGAGAGCACATGGCGTAGTGAAACGGCTTCCGAGTCAGAGATCTGAGAGCGCAGTGGATAGGGCTCCGGTGGGAGTCGGGCTTCGCATGCGGGTGAGCACAATGTGGGAAATACTCAGGAGGTGGGGATGAAAAGGAAATACTTACTGTGTGGTCCGTCAGAGATAGAGAATGGATCGACGCAGTGCTGGACATAAATGAAAATGGAAGAAAGGGGCTAGTTAGACAGTTAGTCAGTTAAGACAGTAAAATTAGGCCACCTCCGCTAGCCCCTTTCAAAGTTTCAGCACTTTCTGGACCAGGCCGGATCACCGGTTGAACTCCTCAACAACTTATTGAAGTACTTGTTTGTGGCTTCTGGAGGCACCACTTGTGAGAACTGCCGTTCCTAATTAAGCGTGAAAATCGAGCTCGAAATCCTAATATGGTAATTCATATTCTAACACCACTCCCGATGAAATTACTCAAAATACTACTCTTTTCAACACACCTTTTTCACCAGTGAACACTCATATCACGATGTTCCTAGTAGAATTCAGGAAGCATACACTTATTAGCTTCTGATAATCATTATGTGCAACATTTTAATGTAGTACGAATACACTGGAAAGACATACGCGGCCAAGAAACTATCCTTCCATCAAAGATTACCGAAAGAGCCAAATCCAGGTGAAGTTAATCACAGTAACAATGATGATCCCGATCATCCCTCCTGCTCTTCCTCGATTTGTGCTTGCTATGCCCGTCATCATGGTCAGAATTTAAATGAATGCAGACTAGAATCAAACGATGCGTTGGCGTCGAAGATTCAACTAGGCAAAATCCGACTCACCGTTCTTTGGCATTACAATCGGACTCGGATCTTCCCCCTGGTGTGGCAGGAGGGACGCGCGCATCATGGCACCGTACAACTGGCGCCAAAGCGCCGTTACATCGGTACCCCTCGGAAAGCTCCTTGAAAACGCGTAAAAGCTCCCGTCGAGATCTCTATCAATGCGGTCGATACCCTCGCGAGCTACATCGAGTGTCTTTCAGAAACAAAGAAAGACAGCTGATTAAAACCTGAGCTCACAAAGAACTTCACTTGCTGAATGCATATCCCGAAACATATCAGGCGCAGCGGTAGTCACAATAGGTACGCAATTCCTGTAGAGGATCGGCCTGCCAGAGGCGTCGAATCCCTGCTGATAAGGCTGCGGTTGGTGCGCTACCGGCGAGACAGTGGTAGGTGGAGCGTAATGTACCAATCCCCTGGAGTTCGACATCATGTCAGTGCTCTGCTCAGGGACGGGACTCAAAGCAGGGGTGCTACGAGCGTAGGTTGTGGGGGCTCTGGATACATGAGGAAGTCCAGGTCCAAGACTCTGAGTGCGGGAGTCGTCAATCCTACTGCGTTCAAGAGACGAGGCAAGATCGAGCTTGGCTGGAGTCAAATCAGGGTCTGAAAGAGGACGAGCAAATGTCGTCCGGAGGCTGATGTCGTCAGGTGGAATAAAGGGCAAAGGAGGCACCTCAGGCGTGTAGTGGCCGGCTCGAGTCTTCGAGGGATAGCGCTCATTGATACTCAGACCCCCGGCGTCAGAGGCACGCTGAGTCTGGGACCCATCGCGGGGTGAAGGGGGGTAGAAATCAGTGGGACTGCCACTATCAGTAGAGCGACGAGAGGTGTCTGAGCCACTGTAGTGCATAGGAAGTGCGTCGGCACTTCTTTGCGTCTCGTGTGACTGTAGTGAGGGGGAACGAAACATGGTGAACAAATTGACAGCGGTGGTCTGATGAGTAGTACCTACATTTTGTATCATTTTTGAGGATTCAAGAGGGACCCGGGGTATACTTCGATCGTGCTACAACGAGGCGTAGTTCCAGACACGTGTAAACCATATTTTCGAAAACGAATGCCGGAGGATGGACACTGGGGCGCTAATCATGGTCTGCAGCAGGTATTGATGCAAAAGACGCTGTGTCGGTAGTTGGAGAGTGAAAGTCCATCAGGCGATGAGAGAAAGAGGAGGCCCCCAAAAAGATGCTCTGTAGAATGAGACTGGTCAGCTCAGAATTTCCGTAAAAGAAAGGGCCGCAAATCCGTATATGAGAGCCTCACATTCAGCTTCGAGATGATGAAATCATGTCTGATTCATAAAAAGGGCACATCAGAGATGCCATGAAATATATTCCGCCTATAAAGGTAAAAAACGGCTGCAAACCATACAGCAAACATGAGGCTTCTGTCCAAGAGAAGTAAAAAAAACAGAGATGAGAGCATGCGGCAAGTGCACGCACCTAGCGCATGTCCACCTTAATGAAGTGTGTGTGAGAGTCAGTGCCTTGGGCCGACCGTCGCAAAGATCCGAATCCGAGATGACAGGCCCACTGTCTATCAAGGAATTCCTAATGCCACATGTAGATAAGTGTGCGTGAGAACATGAATTCGGCAAATGGCGATCCGATCCTGTGCATTACTTTTCAAATTCCAGCAGCTTGGACGACAACCACGACGTTGGTTTAAATCTACCCAAACGATGGTAGGCCCCTGGACTTTTGTAATATTTCTTTCAACATTAATTCAAGGTGTCATTCCAGGCGATGGCCTACATACATATCGCCGTTACCGTGGTAATTTTTGTGGAATGGTCAGTCCAAGCTTTCTCTGTAACATCCGCCTCCACTATATCTATTTGTTGCTCTATGTCGATACAGTACCATCATTCGCACTATTCAACGCGTCTTCGGAGCACTTGCTAACTGGGATCCGCAGTTACCGTTATACGCCACTTTCATAACCGCAACCAGGGCCTAAACCGTTTTCAAGATGAAAGGGGATATATGGTTACTCTATCTTCAATTTTTATCCTCTTTGTTTTTCGAAAATCAACCTTTTTTTAGCGTATCTCTACGCCTTTCCGTACCACGAAGAAATAACTCTGCTTTTCGTTTCGGTGACTGAATAAGGAAGCGTCGGAGCTCGGTCCGTGCTAATTCTTGCTCAGCGACACGTGGCCGTGCTTTTTGATTTTTATCATCGGTTCCGTTCGTTCCTCCTCTCAGCCATGACCATCGTGTCACCTCCCCCCCTTCCCTTGGAATTGCCGAACGAGAAGGAGAAGGTGACAGATGAGTCGACCTCAAGTACGGAACCCCCAGTCAAGATTCCATATGATACCAATGGGGCCCTCGATGACATTCCAGGCGTGGCTCATGCTCTCGAACTTTTCCTTAATTCTCACATGTTCGAATCAGAGGATTACTGTCTTAGGAGTGACCCAAAAATGTGCGTATATTGTTCATCTGCTTTTTAATCTCTCTAACAGAGCTTGTTGATCAGGGAGAGACTTTACTTCTCTACCGGATACGGTCTCATACAATGCGTTAAAGCGTTTATGTCTTATGCCGATGAAGATATCCTGGCCGGTATTGGAAACACCAAGCAAGGGAATCTCATTGCCATGCAGCACCGCAAGAAAGCTGCATCGTTCACGTCGAGGCTTGCCGGCTATGTCGTCAGTTCCCTGAATACTACTGGCGTTGGATTTATCAAGAGCATGACCCCGGTTGAGCGTCACGCGGAGCTCGTCTATGCAGACAGTCTATTCGAGAAGGCGTTGTTAGGCGTCGTATACTCCGGCGATTGGCTAGCATTCATCAAAGAAGCGTAAGTTCATCCCATGCTCTGTTCTCCCATGTGCTCCTCCCGATTTAAATTTAAATCTTATCTTACAGATTGAACATGCGAACGACCATCAATATATACCGAGTACTATACAAGTTCATAACGACTATGGATGAGGCGGCTCCCTCCGGTTACGATGAGAGCATCGACATCCATTTCCGCTCAGGCGTCTATCTCGGAGCCGGAATGAGTACCCTCATTCTGAGCCTCATGCCCTCAAAATTGCTCACCATCATCGAACTATTCGGATATCACGGCGACCGCGCCGAGGCCCTTTCCATTCTCTGCAAAGCAGGCGGTTGGACCTCGACGTCCGACGAACCCTCCATTCCCATTTCTGAAGAAGGACTCCGACGACCCATCTGCGACATGTCCCTCATGGTCTTCCACCTCGTCCTCTCGAGCTACACGTTCGAAGGTGTCGACGTCCAAATGGCTGACAAAATCATCCAATGGAACGCGCGCCGCTACCCGAACGGCGTCTTTTTCCTATTCGCAGCTGGGCGTCTCGCGCTCATGCGGTCACAGCCGGAAGAATCCATACGGTGTTATACCCGGGCCATGGAGGTCCAGTCGCAGTACAGAAATCTGCACCACGTCTCCTTCTGGGAGATTGCGATAGCGCAACTGGCGCTCTGGGATGTGAAGGGCAGCCTGGAGCGTTGGCGCGACTTGGAACGGGAAGCGACATGGTCCAAGGCGATTTATACGTATGGGATGGCGGTGTGTCTGCTTGAGGGCGGAGGGGACCCAAAGGAGGCGAAAGCGCTGATGGAGAAGGTGCCGAACCTTCGTCAGAAGATTGCCGGGAAGAGTATACCCATGGAGAAACTGGTCGCGAGGAAGGCGCGCAAGTTTCTGGGACAGGGTCGGTTGGCACTTCCAGCCCTCGAGATTGCATATCTTTTCTTGGCCATAACGCATGCTCCTCGGGAGGTCGTTGCGAAGAAGATGCTCGTCGAGGTGTTGGATTGCTTGAAGGAGCTAGATACCAAGGACAAGAAGTCGGTGGGTTATTGGGACGACTTTTGTTTGGCCAAGTTCTTAGAGGGTGTTTGCATGAGATATATTGCTTATCCGGTTCGTTTCTGTTTTATTTGTTTATTCCTTTCATTCAACAAGAGCCATACAGGACCCTGATGCCATTATACCGCCTGATGCCCCTTCTGTTATTGAGCTAGCAGGTATATCCGAGAACGATGCAGCAAAAGCTGCGGTGTCAGCATTTGAGGACGTGTTTAGATTTGGACCCAAGATAGAGCTCGACCACCACATCGTGTATCATACCCGTACGTTTCTTCTCTTCCTTTCGATCCGTGCTAATGTTTGACTAGACTATGAACTGGGCCGATTACTTGCTTGTCAGGGCAAAGAGGACGAGGCGCGGACACAGTTCCATCTCATTCTTTCCGGTATGGGTCTCTTTACATTGGGTTTCAATCGATCTGACTACCGGTCATAGGAAAGTATCTCGAGGTTGGGTCGTCCGGAAAAAAGGGACGATATAGTATGGAGGTCAGTTTTGGCTAAAATAATATATTCGACGTTAAATTGTTGTTCGACAGAATGCTTTACACATGCGCACCCATGCAGCACTAGAAGCTCTGGGAAAGCGAAATCTTTGATATCCTTATTCGTGATATACCTGCTGCTTTGCTATGTTTATGGACTAATAATACCCTGTACCGCCACTGATATTGTATTCCCCCAATAGACCGCATCCTTTTTTGCATTGAACTCCTTGTTTTGATTCCAGACCGATGACATAGGAAGATAACAGCTACTATTTGCTAAAGAGGGCCGGTGTGATGGTCTTCCATTCATGATCGGGCCACAACACATTTGCACTTCCAGCTGCCTCCGGGTCTTCCTTGTTCGCCTCGTAATCCCACCCTGTGGAACCCTGACCATCCTCTATCAATCTTTGCAACACTCCCAAGAATGACTCGGCCAAGTCCCCAGGAAGCTTGTCGACATGGTTGGGGGGAAGACCTACCTTCGCCGCGACCTCCGACAGCGTCAAATACTCCGATTGCAGACGGAATATCTTGTCATTCAATTGCTCAGCCGGAAGGTGGGTCAAGATATACGCGACGAACCCTATTCTACGATCAGCCAGTGCAGCAGCGCAATGAATAATGTACTGACCGCCAATATCTTCGAGTGCGGAGAAAGACGCCTTTGTATGTCCCTTTCCAACAACATTGAACTTTTGGTCGACGATGTATCCGACAACTGCAGGAATGTATATAAAGAACAGTCCCGTCTACACCCAGCAGTCAGTAAGTGTCGTGGAAAAATATCGATGAAGACTCACGAAGACTCTTGCAGATGGCAATCCGATCTTCTTCAGATATTCTAGTGTCGTCTTCAGCTCCTCATTTAATTAGCAGAAGCGTGGCACACTCACTAGCAAAATCATCCTTATCCTTCAAGAGCTTCACAGATGCCCCGGCGGTTACAGACCCAAACTCCGACGGCACAAATAGCTTTACTCCCGCCGCCTTCGCGCTATCCGCAAGAACATATTGGCTCTCCCCTCCCGCCACAGAGTTGACGGCCGAGATAAGGACATCGACCTTATTCTCCTTGAGTACAGCAGAGACTTCTGCACTGTTCTCGTAGTCCACCTTGACGACCTTGACATTGGGTGATGTGGGGAGTTTGTCGGAGGAGTCGGAGGACTTCCGGGTAAGGACGAGGAATGAGACGTTCTGTGCGATGAGGGCGTCGAAGACGTTCTTGCCGACTGAGCCGGTGGCACCTACGAGAGCAAATGATTTGTATGACATGGAGATATGGGGGTGGATAATGAACGAATCCTCTGCTTCGCTGTCCCGTTATAATGTCGAATCAGTCTCGTCATTGTGGTGCAATAAAGGATGATCGATCCTTCACCCGTCTGTTCGCATAACAAACATGGAGATATCTCGCAATCCTATGACGAATCCGTGTGCCCTCCTGTCATTCATGCTTATCGATAAACCAATTTGCTTATCAGGATCTGTCAGCGAAGATGCCAAGAATACTACTTACATCAGAACGGAGGAAAACCTCCTTGAGTTCAGTTGCCGATTGTCAGGAGACCTCATTTTATGGCGGGTGGGTGAACCGATACCACTTATTAGCAGGTTAGAGGCCAGCATCCTCGACCGGGAAATTTGATAGAGATTTGACCCTCCACATCGGAATTTGGCACGATGGTAAGAATATCCTTAGTTTGGAGGCCCAGGTAATGACTCGGAGTGTACCAGCTCGTACTGGGACAACCGGAAATATCATCGGGAAAGAGAGGAAGTCGATATAAGAGCTCTTTTTTATTTGTTAAGGGGCTGGCATTTTTATCTTCTCATCTATGTTCGGATTCAGATGCATCTTTTTACATTTATTCTGTGCCAGTGCTTGTATGTACGGCTTCAAATAGTTGCGCGTCGTATAGGCGCAACGAGCTAATCTATTTGGCATTGACTATAGTTTCTCGAACTCATTCTTTGCGATTATTCTAAGGTAAGATAGATCTAATAACATCGCGTGTAACCAGAGTACCAAAATACAACGTATGGCGCAGACATCAAGACGCACGTCATTCTAGATAGATATAGTCAGTGGAAGGCAATAAAAACGTTGCTCAAGCTGCTCACCAAGGTCAGAAACAGAAACGATACCAGCAGCGATTGATGATGCCATTTTTGTCTCTACCGCCGTCTTGTACAGCTGCAAGTCCTCATCCTGACCATAACCCGATCTAAATATGATAGTTACATCTCGAACGGCACCCATGTCGGAACTAGACAGGACCCTTGCTAAACCAGACCAAACATTATTTGTACCGGAGGGCCGTAGCCAGCAGTTGCGAAGATAAACATCAAGGACGATTTTCTCGATGGATGCGTCCGTTGTTCCCTTCAAGTTCTTCACCCACCACTTTAATGTCTGAGAATCAGAGGTATCCCCTTCTTCCACAAGCGACACATCAATAGAGCGCAATCCCGAGATATTCAAAGTCGGCTCAGTCACCGTTACTGAACCTAGCAGAATGTAAATCTTGCATCGAAAGTGGACAAAGTTCCACCCACCTGCGACAAGATGCGCAGCATTGAGATACTCCAACGACGGAAGTGGAAGCTCCAAAATATCCTCCAGAAGCGTGACTGTAGACTGATACTAGATAATAATCGAGAAACTCCGTAAACAGTTGACCGAGAAAAGATATATCCGAGTGTCGATGATGGATTGAAGAATAGGATCGAAGTATCCTTCTAAGCGCAGCTTGGCCAAAGTCCCTCCTGACTCTGGACGGCTACGAACGAGGAACTGGCTCGATTCTCCTATGAGCCCCTCAAATGACAGATCCAATTCTGTCGATCCCTTGAATGCAGTGTAAAAAAGCGTCGACGTCACGAACGAGGCTCGCATAGAGGACGACGGTGCGAAACAAGTGAAGTGATAATGCCCGCTCGGATGGTCCGCTCATGTTATTCCTGTGATAATTCATCATTTTCAAGCCGTCCATGTGGCCCACGGGAATGAGATCCAACAAAGTCAGAAAAGAGGGGACCTCAAGTATGGAGTGGCTTCTACCACTATAGCGAGTGCAAATATCGAGATTCTTGACGTAGACAATAAGGTGCGGGGAGTTGACACATAAGGTGTGAAATTTTTGGCATTCAGGGATGGTGCTGAGGCCTATGGTTTCGAATAGGTGGACGCGTATACGTGGCAAAAAGGTATGAGAGACCAGGGGCAAGAGTGGAGAGTCTGAATGTCGTCGCTAGCCTCATCGATGATCCTCTCCACAAGCTCTTGTGGAAAAGAAGACAATGAGGAGATTCTAAATGTGTTATGAGGAATTGCTAAATGGTAGCAGGAGGAATGCTCACAGAAATTATCAAAACAGTTGAGAGTTGTGCTTTCGAATCTAGAATGATTCAACGTTGGTAAAAGAGGGTGACAAGTGTGCTAATGAGCCTTTAGACTATAGTAAGTGCGTTTTCGATCAGTCACGGCTCAAGAACACGGGCAGCTCTCGGCATGCGAGGGACAGCATTCATTTAGAGTTACAGAACAACATTTGTGATATGATAGCTCTTAGCTCACCCGATTATCCACCTTTCAAGCCCGGCCGTCTTGCTTTTTTCACTAACAAAGGAAGTTTCATAGTCATCTATCATTATCCTCTCGTCTTCGAAGAAGGTAACTTCCTTTGGTGGAATGAGCTGGGCATAGATCGTTAACGAGATTTGACAGCACACAACTGAAAAGACGTACCAGCGTACGATGTAGTACTTTCCAGATAACGAATAAAATAGGAAGAACGCCAATGATAGTATAAGAAAAGAAGAATATTGTGGTGTCCCAGTTGCCGGCCATGAAGACCGAGTAGCCCGATATGAACGGCATTATGAGGGTGAGAGCTAAGGCGTAGTAGCTGAGAACACGATAAGCCTCAAAGAGGGAAAAGCTATCTTAACTATACTCGCAGAATGGCTGGAGTGGTCCACAGAATGGTAGGCTACTTCGGGGTATTCCCTGAGCCTTCAACGCTTGAAGCAAAAGTCGGCGTCATTTCGAATCCACGGGTGTAGCAAATACTTCACATAATAAAATCTCAAATATGTGAATGATACAATAGCGTAGTTGATGACTTGTGTCGCCGCTGTGAGGCTGACGAACCTATTGCCAAGATTCAGACTAGAATGAGCCAACACTGAGATGACCTGACCACTTACCATTCAAGAACCTTGGCTGTACCATTCAATACCTGCAAGAAAGCCAATAAAGCAATGAGCATAGTTACTCCGACGCAGTATATCGGAACACCGTTCCGTGTGCATCTCGTCAAGAAACCAGGCAATCTGCTTTGCAGCGCCATGTCATATAAGGCGCGACTGGCACAGAAGACATAACTATTCCCAGCGGAGAATATCGACAACATGATCAGAGCATTGACGACGTGAGGGAGCACGGGGATGCTCATATTCTGCATCGCGATGACATATGGAGAGGAGCCGGCGCCGGGTTTCGGGTCTGACAAGGCAAGTTGCAAATTCGAGTCTGAGTATGGAAGAAGTATGCCGACAGAGAGGGCCCCAAGGATGAAAAATATCGTGACGCGGGTGTAGACGCCTTTGAACGTCCGAGGTAGGGTTGTCCTTGGGTTCTCAGCCTCTCCCGCGGTATTGGACACAAATTCTGGACCTGGGAAGGATTTATATTCGAACAGTACATATTTCGGCGGAGCACATACCACACATCGTAAAGACCGCCTGAAATAGGCAACTCAAAAAGCCTAGAAGACGTCCGGTAGACCTGGTCTTCTGGTATTCTACGAACGGTGTTCCCTGCTCCATCATAAATTCCAGAGGGCCAAGATGAATCTAGGAACTTACGGGAACTTTTGATGCTTGAAATATGATTGTCGGCTGAACATCTTCGAGGCAAAGCCTAGACAAACTCACAATCTCAATTTCGAAAGTCAATCCGATCGTGGAGCGGGTTGCTGCCAAGCATAGTTATAAAAGTGAACAGAAGCAGTCCAAAGGCCAAGATAATCTTCCCAATCGCCAGCCAAAACTCGGATTCTATCAGAATGATGAATGAACGTTCGGCTACCGATGATACAATGCGCTTACCGCCGTAGAATCGAACAACAAAGACATTCAGTGCTCTGCATGACTGGATCAGAATATATTCGTTGTGCTTGGCAAAGGAACGCACACGTAACATGCAAGGACCACCTCAATTACAACAGCGGTCGGAATCTTTTCCGTCCAAAAATGGATCACCAGCTCGAACGCTGTGATCTCGAAAGGAACTAGTATCGCAGGGTACAGAAAGAAGTTTATTCCGGCGCAGAACCCCCGGGCAGGATCGACAAATTGGTCAGCGAAGCATATGAAAGGAGACGAGATGGGGATCCAAGAAACCATTTCAGCTACGACTGCGTTCAGTCACGAATTTGAGAAATTAGACAGTATGTACCCAGGCAGTTGTTAATTGCCATCATCACAGTGGACCAGAACACGAATGCTAGTAGGAAGCTTCCGGGCCCTCCATGTGGAAGCACGTAGCCGATCTGAACGAAGAGAGCGGTGCCGATGGTCCCTAAGACAGCAGACGTTTGCGGCCCGTATTTTAGGCCAAAAGTGAATCTTACCTCCAATACCAATCCAGTGTAGGTGCCTGCTCTAAGAGAACATTACTGGAGAGTCAACCGATATTGAGCTCGAAAGACACACCTTCAGCCGCCTGACTGTTTGGTCCACATGTGTGTAATCTCCGAGATCTGAGACGACATCGTTAATTTGGACAGATACCCTGGAGTCTTTTTCAGAGTCCATGGTGGATTTCGTCGTAGGCCTGTGGGGGAAGAAAAGAAGGGAAACAATATTTGGGAGATAAAATAGAGAAACGCATTTCGATATCGACCACGTGCTGGTAAAACAAAGAAGCTTCGAAACTCGGGACGGGAGCCTACCTTGTTGAAAGGCCGACCCGATGACCTGCTTTGATATTCATGAAACGTGCAACATAGTAACGCTGGATCTCACATGAGCACGACAAGCAGAAGACGCACAAGATTACTCACTTTTTGGATGGTAAGAGGCCACGAAAATGTTATTCAACAATAACAGGAAGTCTAGCTGCGTCCGAGTCGCCGTTCGGGCAACCAGATGATAAGAGTTGATGTAAATACAGGGCCGTAGCAAGAACAGGGTTCGAGGCAGAATTTTCCGTAACAGTTAGGAATAATTGAAGAGAAGTGACTTGTTCATATGAAAGGTGCGATGTGCGGCAATAAAAGCGAGACGTAGCGAGGACCAAAAAGCCTGTAACGGACGGGCCCGTTCTACTTCCTTTTTCGTAACATAAACCCGGACTTTATTTGAACTATGCTTATCTATGCACTCCACTCTTATCTACG